GTTGAGGGCCCAGCCCTGGACACGGCCCTGGAGGTCCCTCAGCCGTGCCCGGCACAGGGACGGGCACTGCCCTGGGGCTGGGACACCCCATGGCTGGCACAGCCCAGGGGCCATTGGCCTCCTGCCCCCCTGGGCACCCCTGGGATCGTGTCCAGCCCCGGCACCAGCACCCTCAGTCCTTTCCCACTGGGCACTTTCTGGCCCCTCTGCCCCATCCTGGAGAGTTCCATGGGTTGTTGTGACCCGAGGGTGGCACTTGGCCTTGTCCCTCACACCACTGGCCTCAACCCACGGATCCACATGGCACACGAGCAAAGCAAATACTTTCCCATTTGTGATAAAAATGAGGTGATGGGTGCTCTACATGGAGTCAGAGGTAATCCTTCCTTCTCATGTGGGAAGCCCTAAATTAAGAAATAGCATTACAGTGATTTTCCAGGATGCTGGGAAAAGTCATGTGGAAACAGATTATTTGTTATTTCTGCTATACAATCACAGGATCAATCTAACCAAATAAAATGCTGTAATCTGATTTGATATAAATGGCTGCTGACATTCATACAAAAAGCCTGAGTCATTACTTAGCTTATTCTGTACCCCTTACTCTTATCACAATAGATTGAACGTTAGTGACTGTACTGGTGAGTCATACTTATTCACTTCTGATTTTTCAAATTGTCCATGTATTTGATTTTTTTTTTTAAGAGGAATTGGCTAGGTTGATATAAACAATCTCCTTTTAATGATTTTTCTTACAGTTGTGAGGACGTATTCTGGTGATGAGATTTATACTGGGTTGTGCTTTACTCACTTCCAGAGCTTTTCTGCTCGGTCACACTAACTCTGGAGTAAGCTCATGCTCAGCATGAATTGGCAAAATCCCATTATTCTTCCTGTCCTTTGCCTTGACATATCCTGTAAAACTGAGCTATCTGTAGGAATTTATTAGGTCAACACTGAGAATGAAAATGTTCCTGTAATAATCTTTGTGTGTGTGTGTAACTTCTTTCTGTACAGTAGCTCTGCTGTTGTCGGTCTCCTCAGACAATAATCCCCTCTCCATTTCAGTCTGTCACCACAAGTGAAAGTGAGCTGAGATCCCAAAAGACTCTTGATTTAACCAGTGATCCACCTATCCACTTGGTACTCATGATGTCTGAAACTGAGCCTAACAATTTAACACTCTTGGACTGATGAAAGTAGAGTTCATTTTTGGATGAGAGTGAGATTTAGGCACTTAAAAGGGGAGCTGTCTCTATATTGCATGACCAGGCTGAACTGTGGCCTGTTCAAGAGGCTGTTTGGTGGGTAATTCGTAAACTTGGACACTCATCAGTAAAACAACAGGAATCCCAGAATGGTTTGAGTTGGAAGGAACATTAAAGCTCATCTAGTTCTACCTGCTGCTGTGGGCAGAGACACCTTCCACTAGCCCAGGTTGTTCCAAGCCCTGTCCACACAGGATTTATGCTCATGTTGCTGCAGCAGCACGGCCTGTGAGGTGCTTTTCCTTTAGGAAGGAATGCTGTCAGCCCTGGGAACAGCACAGTCACAGATAATGTGATACCACCAGATATCAGGGAAGCAAAACAGTCTGTGTTAGTAATATCAGTGTGTCCTTGCAGATGTGCTCAGAGGCTTCCCCTGCATCTGTCAAGGGTTGGACTCTCCAGCTCAAGTGCAGGTCTTTGTGTGTGCTTGTGCTGCAGCCCTTAATTAGCTGAAGATTGGCTGGAGCAGAGGAGACTGAGGGCAGAGCTCACTGGGGTCTGCGGCTCTGATCTCTGCTCTGGGGGGACCAGGGACAGCACCCAGGGAATGGCTGGAGCTGTGTCAGGGCAGGGTCAGGTTGGATCTCAGGGAAAGGTTCTTCCCCCAGAGGGTGGGTGGGCACTGACCAGGCTCCCCAGGGCAGTGGGCACAACCCCAAGGCTGCCAGAGCTCCAGGAGGGTTTGGACAACGCTCTGAGGGACAGGGTGGGATTGTTGGGGTGTCTGTGCAGGGCCAGGGGTTGGACTGGATGGTCCTTGTGGGTCCCTCCCAGCTCAGGATAATCTGAGATGGTATGAAGACTCTTCCATTAGGCTTTGTGCGATGGACAATGTATATGAGCAGCGTTGAGATAATTTTGGGATCACAGCTCTCTTTGCTGCAGATGTTTGAAGCAAATGTTCTTCAAGACTTTCTTCATGGCTCTTGGTGAGTGTAACAGGGACCTTCTGGTAGTGCTGTATTTGGCTCCTCTGCCACAATAAAATTTTCAGGTATAGAATCTATTGACCCAAACTCCCTGGATAATGTAGTGTGAGCTTGCAGAGGGTGTAATGTAATTATGACAGGGTCAAGTAACTCTGATAGGAATGAAGTCCAATGTAAAGGACATAAATAAGTGTTTGAGTCACTTAAACATAGATGTCTGCTGCTTCTTCAGATGTTGGCTCCTGGAAGGGCATGAATATGTGTCTGTCTGCCAGGTGCACTCACATGTCTGAGGTGGCACTGGATGCCTGGGTTTGGGTACCTGCCTCTGTTTAGTGCATCCTGGAAGACTGACAAGACAGCAAAGCAAGAGTTCCCATTTGGAGTAACACCAGCAGGAGTTGGGGTGGGATGTGCTGTACGGAAAACCAGGATATTGGGCTTTGTCTGTCACATCAAGGCTCCCTGGCCCTTTTGTCCCTGTTGAGAGCTCTGTCCGTGTGTCCTTCCCTCGCAGCGAGCGCGGGTGTGTTTGGGAGGCAGTTGGTGATGACGTGATCGCATTTTTGTCTGTCTGCACCATCCTTGTCTCATCCAACATGGAGGGCAGGTGGCGCTTGGGGATTCATCCCGGCCCTGGAGTCAAAGAGGCTGTTGTTTGCAGCATCCCAGATGCGTTTCCTGCAGATGTTGAAATAAATGAGGCGGGGGGTAATAGGAAAAGAGAGGATGATCTCATGTCTAAGCCAGTTCAGTGATCATCTGGGGAACTGGAACTCTGCCTTTAGGATGCAAGACAAACAACTCGAACCAGGCTTAACCTGTTTTCTTAGTTCCAGGGACAGAGCAGTATCCTCAGCTTGGTTTTGTGTATCCTCTCAAATTGAATGTGGTGCTTGTTGGTAGTTGGCTGTGCACTTAGGGGAAATGTGTATTTTCTGATTTATGACTTAAAAAATTCCTGTTCATGACAGTGATTGGATAGCACTTGCTGTTCCTTTTTCTGGATTGCCTTTGAATTCCAGCAGTTCCTCCAAAACTGATATGGCTGGGCACATTTACTCCAGTGCTGAAGTCTTTCTTATTCAGACTTCCTTAGATAAAAACAAATAAATAAGCCCAGGGTGATTTCTAGCCTCAAGCTATTGTTAGAGCTGCCAGGAAAGGGTGGGCAGGCACTGGCCCAGGCTGCCCAGGGAAGTGGTAGAATCACTGTCCCTGGAAGTGTTCAAAAAACGTGTAGATGTGGTGGGTTAGTGGTGGACCTGGCTGTGCTGGATTAATGGTTGGACTCAATTATCTTGGAGGGCTTTCCCAGCCTTAATGATTCAGTGATTAATGAAGGGATATCGTAATGTTCCAGTGATCATAACAAAACTAGATTGTTATTGTAATGCCTGCACGTAATTGCTTGAGAGCCAGGGGTTTGGGAGTGATATAAATCATCATCCTTTAGGGCTTATCCTGCCGTTTCAGAATTGAGGATTAGGAATCATTTCCTTGAGACCAAGCCTCACGTGGTGCTTTGCTTCTTTTCACTCTGAAGTTTTTGTGATGGTTCAGGTCCAGCTGGATCTGAGAACTGATCCTGTGCAGCAGTCCCCATGGATTTTTAGAGATGCAGAAAGGAGTAACCTCCCTTTGATCGTTGGAAACAGTTCTGAAGTTGAACGTCTCTGGTGGCCCCTGATTTTCACCAAGTGTTCAGAAAGCAGAGGCCTATGAAGAGTCTGTTTAAATCCTTCCAGCTGATTTGCAGTTTGCCTGTCACAGCCTCTTGAGCATCTCCAGAGAGCTGGGGTGGCCTGGAGGTGACACACAACTCTGGCTGGAATTGCCTTTCTGGGTTTACAGAGGGCACTGTTGCTGCTCCTTTAGAGTTCTCAGTCCTGGTTTTAACTAGGATTGTAATGTATGGAAGCATATATATTACAATGTATGTAAGGGATGAATGTGATGCCTCTCTTCTTTTGTTTGTCTGTAGGATACTGGGATGACTGGAATTCAAGATATTTGATTCCCGCTCTTACCCTGAGGTAGAGGAAATAAGCACGAGAAACTTCTACAGCTCAGGCAAGTAAATATCTGTATCTCCATAGTTTATTGAAATTAATTGCTTGGTAAACAAGTGAGTGCTGGGAACCTTCCTAGAGCAGAGGAATTGATTTGTGCTGTTACAAAATACAGTTTAAAAGGAACATAAGAATTTTAATTATATTTTTTTCTTTATTTAGTAGGGAAAGGATCTTTCATAGTGAACTCTGCTCTGAAAAACGAGAAAGCCTCTCCTCTGTGGAATTGAAATAAATATTTGACAGTTGCCTTGAATAAAAATTAAGAAAAATGTCTGTCATAGATCCTTACCAGCACATTGTGGTAAGTAGCTCTGAATCTTCTGTGTATACTGTCTTCTGTAATATATCCTGTCTTGTATAATGTGTTCTAGTAGAGGTTACTCTAAATAAGCACATAACATTGCAGTTGTTACTAATTCCTTAAAGAAATGGTGTGTGTAACTTTATCCCTTACAGTACAATTTTTTTTGGCACAATTCTATTTACTGACTAACTCTTTCCCTTTTCATTAGTATGGATAGAGGAGTGAGTTGACAATTTTGGGTATTTAGATCTTAAACTAGTGTATATCAATGACGTTGGTTCAAAGATAATCTTCAGAATACATCCTGGAAACTCAAGGTCTGAGTGAAATGGTCTGTGCTACTCAACAGCAGCTGCTGCTGAAGGCTCCTGCTCCCCCCTTCCTGCTTTATCCCAGTGTTCCTGCTGCATCCCTTGTCCCAGCTATCAAACCCATGTCTTTAGGGAGACAATTGACCTTGATGAATTGGCAGAAAAAACAGTTCAATACAAAAATAGACCAAAACCAGTTATTAGTAAGGGGTTCTTGGCTGTGAGGGTGGGGAGGCCCTGGCACAGGCTGCCCAGAGAAGCTGTGGCTGCCCCTGGATCCCTGGAAGTGTCCAGGTTGGATGGGGCTTGGAGCGACCTGGGCTAGTGGAAGGTGTCCCTGCCCATGGCAGGGATAGGCTTTAAGGTCCCTTCCAAGCCAAACCATTCCAGGATTTCATGGAATGATTAGAAAATCCGTTTTGTGCTGTCAGAGCTGGCCCAGGGGGAGGGTGGAGCCATGTCAGCACAACCTGTGTAGCGGAGAAGCAGGGACAAGAGAAGGAGAAGGGAAAGGGGAGCAGAACTGCCCTTTGTGGGGCGAGGCAGTGGCTCACTGAACACTGGGATATTCCCGTGTAGCTCTCCTGGAAGTGACTTTCCAGAGTAAACACGAAATGGCAGTTCCTGCTCAAACTGAAATCTGGAGCCACACCGGGCGTGTTCCTATCACGGGCTTCTCGGAAGAGCCCCGGGATCCCCCAGCAGGAATAGTGACGTGTACCCAGAGATAACCACGCTTGTCAGAGTGCTGTGCTTCTAAAGCATGGCTAAAAATACACCCTGTGCTTCCTTGAAGTGATCTCTTATCAGTGCTGTGGTTTGTACCCCACACGCTCACATCCTCTGCTCCGGTTTGCAGCCAGCACATGCCAGACTCGGCTTTGCTCCTCCACAGGCCTGTGAACTCAGCTGGAAGGACCAACTGCAGGTTGATGTCTCAGTTTAACTGTGTTACAATTCGCTGACTTGGTCCTTTTGGCATCACTGCCCTCTCCTGGATGGAATGCTTGGAATGATCTGTACCTTTATGGGAGAGGTCTCTGAGGCACTCGGTTGTAGTTCATTGAATCATTCTCGTGAAAGATCTTTTGATACCAGTATATATATTGTAATAAACACTGTCAGTGCAAGAGCTGATCTTTTAATTGCTTGAAAAGTGAATGGAAATCTTTTGAGGTTTCTTAATTTGAAGGTTGAAATTCCATGGAAGTTTTTACTGGAATTTGGAAGGCAGCAGGCTCGTACCCATGCAAAAATCTTGGATTTTAAGAACATTTGGCATTAAAAGACTCAAAAGTATTCTCCCTGAAAGTCCTTTTGCTGATTTGTGTGTTTTCTGATCTTTTAATTTTTATTTCTTTTTATTTATCTTTCTTTCACGTTTTGTGAAAGACTCTGAGGAATAAAAAGCTACTGGAGGTGCAGACTGTGCCAAAAAAACTTTAGATTTAGAGGCTTAAGATATGTAATACATCTTTGGTTACAATGATATGGGGGATAGATATTATAACAATGGGGAAAATGGCTTCAAGGTAAAATTGTGTGTGTGTGTGTACAAATGTTTGTCTGAATTGAAATACCCTGTGAAAGAAGAGCATGGACTCTGCAAATCTATTACTTAAGTAAACAGGCAAATATTGTCATTTGTCCAGCCCAATTGTGAGCTCAAGTGACCTTAACATTGAGGAAGTAAAACTATCAAATACTTATGCAATCTGCCCGTGCCAGAGCTTCCTGATTGGGGTTGGTGTGCAAGGCAGCCTCCTGATGGAGTTGTGTTCTGTGACTCAGCATTCTGGAATACACAAATATGATACTGGAGACGTGTAAATTCCTCCTTCTTGGCAAGTCCGGAAAGTTTGTAGGTAAAACCCACCTGCGTTCCGGGAGACTTTGGTGTGAGGTTGTTTCCCAGCCCCAGAGTGGGAAGGTGATGGTGTTTGTGTGCTCACAGATATGTAAAAGATGTAAAGTATGTTAAAGGGAGGAAAGCAGATAATTAGGGAAATTTTACTGGGAGGAAGGCAAGCAAAGGTGAGGGAGGAAGAAAGGAGGCAGGGGAGGAGTTCGAGAGATGGAAAGGTGTGTGAGAACAGCAGATATTGAATCGTGACTGTGCAGGATACCTGGAATCCCAGAATCCCAGAACATGCTGAGTTAGAAGGGACCCACAGGGATCATCAGGTCCAACTCCTGGCCCTGCTCATGCCCCTCCCCAAGAGTCACACCATGTGCTTGAGAGGATCATCCAAACACTCCTGGAGCTCTGGCAGCCTAGGTGTGTGCCCACTGCCCTGGGGAGCCTGGTCAGTGCCCAGCTGGGTGAAACCCAGTATTGAACCAGTAGAGTGAATACTGCCCACAGGAGTCCTGTAATTTAGAAACCCCATGCTCAGAGAGGGCAGGTTGAAAACCTTTCTCTCCTTTCTTCTCTAAATTTATGAACAAAGAGGAAGTGAGATGAAATGCACCTGTAAAGCGAGGCCACTGTGGATGGTAGGTCTGAGTTTTTTAAATTCATCGAATCCCAGAATGGTTTGGGTTGGAAGGGACCTTAAAGCCCATCTCATTCCACCCCCTGCCATGGGCAGGGACACCTTCCACGAGAATTAGTTGTGAGCTTTTGAAATTTGTAACCCGTCGTCAATTTTTGAAGGAATGCAGATGTTGCTCCACTCAGTGTTGCAACGTTTAAGTGATTTATTTACCATCCTCTGTTTTTCAGAAGTACTTGAGGGGTTGGCAATGTACAGATTTTTATCAAGATTTAAGGTGAACATAAGTCACTTGAGAAAATGCAGCTTAGTCATCTCAAGCAGCAAGGGCTGGATTTGTAGAGGTATTTGGAGTCAACACATTTCTTGTGGTGTTTCCAGGGGGCATCTGATGCCTTCAGAACTCACTCCAAACACTAACCAAAAAATGCTTCTGAAATGTGGACATTTAATCCTTTTAATCCCCTTAGAAACTGGATCCTAAGTGGAAAATTGCCCTCATTTCCCGTTGTACTTAAATTACGTGAAAAACGTTTATTTTGGTGTAAGAAGAGATCTGGACTTTGGAGCTTCCTGTGTATCTCTGTATATTTTTCTTTTTACAAACAGGGAGATCATTTATTTTAGTAGTTACAAATTTCTTTCAAGTGTGTCATTATGGCCAAATATTAATAACTCTTTATAATTATAATCCTCAGTGTGAGGCATGGGGAAAGGATATAATGTTTTCTGGTTTTGCCAGGCCTCTGTGTACTTGCCTTCCTTTCAAAGGATCCCAGATCTTAAACCAGACTTAACTTTCCTGGCAGTATAACAGCTGGAATGGTGGGGGTTGCTGTTTCAGTCAATAAAAAGCAGTTTTTATGATAATATAACTGTTTAGCAAAACAGTTATTGACTTGCAGTAGAAATAGTGATGATCTCTGTCCTGCTGGAATGAGAATGCACTAGTAAGTGGTGGCTTGGTGGTAGGCATTTTATTTAGGCATATAAATTTCATGAGTAGGACTGGGAGATGCAAGGAAATGACTTTACAGAGTGCTTTTTGTCAGGAAGCATCGTGTAGTCTCCTCGTTTTCCACCGAGGACTCCGAGGCACCACAATTTCACATGAATTTCATGTATCAGCTGAGAGCTGAATGCAGCACACCCATGTCCCATCCCTGTCACTTAATTATAACTCCATCCTCCTCCTCGTTGCTAAATGCTCAGTGATCTCTGATTTGTGTTCTCCGGTGAGGACAAGCTCTTTCTTAAGAGCTGAGAAAAAGGAGAAGGGTGGTGTGTTTGTACTTTGGGCTGTTTCTCTTAATTATAAGGTTGTATGTGACAAAGGAAATACATCAGTCTGTGAACAAACTGAGGCCAGTGCCGTGTTGTGAAACCAGCCCTTCATCAACCTGACCTGTGTGAAGGTGGCACACACTGATAAAGCAGCTTTGGGTGTTTTTAAGCAGCAAACTGAAAATAGGGGACAGCGGGAGCGGTTGGTTTTGGGAGATTCACAGCTTGTAAAAATTCTTGGAGCAGGGTGAATGACAGAACTTCACATAACTGTGTTCACATAGAACCAGCTCTCCCCAGGTAGTCACTAAAATCCCCATTTACCCCGCCGTGATGGAAAACTCTGGGCAGAAATTTATTCACGGAGAAGTCCCATCCTCCTTCCCGTTCATCCACGCGCTCTTGGAAGCTGCAGTGCAGGTGGTGATGGATGTCATGGAATCCTGGGTATGTCTCCATGCCAGCACAGGGCAGGCTGTTCAGTAGGTATTGGTTCCCACACCTAAACCCTTTCTGTTGGGTTTGGTGCTTTGGAGGTGAGCAAAGAGTCCCGCTGGGAGGATCAGGCAGAGTCTGAATTCCACTTTTCCTGTGGTTGGTGAACCTCTGAACCGATGAGGGTTTCAGTGCACCACTTGTAAGGTAACAGCTGGCATTGCCCCAGTTCCCCCTGCCTGCTGCCTTGTTCTTTGATCCAGACAGCTCCTGCAGCTGACAGGGGAGGGATCCCGGAGCTGCCATGTGCTGCTGGACAGACAGACAGTCATGGATGGTGTGGCTGTGCTCAGGGTTGTGGAGGCATTTGGGTTGGTATCGTTTGAGTTGCTTTTTAATGTATCCTGACACAACTATTACTTAACACTCACAAGCCACTTTTGCTGTCTTTAGTTGGTTTTGGCTTTTTTTGGTTTTTTTTTTTGAGGAAATGATATATAAGATACCTATAAGATTAGTAATTTTTTTTATTTGTATTAGAGGGGTCCAGTTTGGTTCTAGACTCTCTGGTGAGTTGTAGATGAGAAATAATGAGGCTTGGCTGGAACAACCAGTTTTGAAAAAAGGAAGTGTCCAGATGAAAACATAGCAAGAAAGCACCAGGCACAGCCTGAAAAGCATGTCCCATACCAAGGGTATTGTCTGTGGTTTTAAATAAATTCCAGTGAATTTCTTGATTCTGGTCTTTCCCCCTTTTCCTTCTGCTTGGAATACATTGTAAGACCTTTGATACTTGGCTGGTTGTTTTGGTCCCAATGGCTGATATGCCAAATATATCACCAAGTTAATAGGGGGTTAGGAAAAGATAGAAAATATCCCCGTTTCAGTGTTGGAAATGCAAACTTGAGGTATGTTGTAGCAGGGTATGAGTCAGTGTCTGGGCACTGTGGGCAGCCAGACAGCTCAAGTGTCCTAAGACAGGCTTTTAACATAGCAGTGTGGGTGTAAGGGCTGGGAGGCAATTGTGGGAGACCTGATCCTGCCTCCAGCACATCAGATATACCCACACTCTCTGTGCTCTGTCCCTGTAAAGGCAGTGTTGTCTGCCCTGCAGTATGCACTGGTCAGTCTCAGAGTTGGTCAAATTTATGGCTGTGTAGATAAAGCAACAGTAGATGTGAGTTGGTGACCTCTTTTTATTATTTTTTTTTATTTTTGTTTCTTAACTTCACATCTTTTCCTACTTCCCTAGTTTGTTCAGGAGAGACCTGCTCCTGCTGTGTGCTTGGGCTCTGCAGGAAACAGGAACCCCCAGAAACTGCACAAAACTTGCTGGGGAATGTTTTAACAGCTGGGTTTTCACCTTCCTTACATTGTCTTAAGGATGCTTTCCCACTGAATATTGATGTGTGCTAAAAGGTGTACTCCAAGTATCACTCACCCTGTCCCTTGCGCGTGCAGTGTGCTTTTATCTGCTCCAGAACACATACTTGGAAATAATTCCTCCTGTTCTTTGTACCAGGGGAAGGTAATTACAACGACAAGCTGTAAAATAACCCCTTTTTTATTTTTTCTTTACCGTACCCAGTTGTCCCTGACTGACTAAATGCCTTGGAGCAGGTTGTGTGGAGAGGAGGAGTGTTATTCATTGAGATTAGTAGGTGTGGCTGCAGGAAAATCCAGCAGCCCCAGTGCAAGGTCTGACCTCCCAGTAAAGCTGCAGGGTGCAGTTCAGCTTTAAGATGCTCTATCCAGTATGAGTTTCCCTTACGTTTTGCCTGGGTGATTTCCCTCTCTCTGTTTTTGGACCAAATGAAACCCTGTTTTCATAGATGATTTTTGGTGGTTGCTGTTGTTGTTGTTCTGGAGCTTAATCACCTCTAACTCTCTGACTTCCAGGTGGAGCACCAGTACTCACACATATTCACTGTGACAGTAAGGAAAGCCACAAATGTCACCAAGGGAGCCATTGGTGACATGCGTGAGTATTTCTCTTTCTGTTTTGCTCTTTCTTCCATGAGGCTGTTGCCGTAGGCAGGGGGAGGTGATGACACATCCAGCTTGTCGTGCATTAAATGATTGTTCCTGGGCTGGGGGTGGTTTTTTGTCTGTCTTATTAAAGCCAGGGCAGTGTCCCCGTGTCATTGCTCACTCTCACTCAGAGCAGATTTGCTGCTCCTTCTTTCCATTGATCCAGAAGAGCTGAGTGAGTTGTAAACGATTTGCCTACAACAAGCAACACCTACAATTAGCTTTTTGGCTCAGTGTGTGAGTCCTGTGGGACTGGTAGTTGCTGCTGCCTCAGAAGGCTGTGGTTTGCTGGTGGGAACATGTCAAAGGAGAGGAGCCCAGAGCTCTGCTGAGTCAGTGCAGAGAAAAAAATAAAAGCCATTTCAGAAACCAACCCAAAATGGGTCAGCAGATCTTGTGGTGGGGAGATACATGACACCAGCACTTCTTCCCCTTTCTGTGAGGCTGCTGGACTGTGTAGCTGAACAGGAAACCACCAGGAAGAACAACCCATGAAAACTCTTCTCTGCTCTAAAGGGGGGAAGAGGGAGAGAATATTGGCTGAATCTGCAGAAAGAACATTCCCATTTCCTCAGGTCTAACTGCTCTGCTGCCAGGTCATCTCTCCCTTTCCCTGGCACTCTGTGCAGAGCTTGGCATAGCCCAAGGCTGGGGTTGGGAGGGTGAGTGTGGTGTCCTGCTCCTGCTCTCCCATCAGGCTCCTTGGACATGCAAATGCTTTCCAATTGCTGCTCTGACACTCAGCTTTGCTTCAGTGGGTTAACAGTGGGTTTTCAGAGTTAAAGTCTACTGTTGGTAGCAAAACTGGGGGAAGGACACTTGGAAGGGGAATGTTCAAGAGCCCCAAGTATGAGGGGAGAGAGGGGAGCCCTGGTGAAGGGAAAAAGAGGGAACTGGGAATCTGTTTAACATCTCCTGTGGGGTAAAGGACAGAACACCCAGAGAAGATGCAGTGGGGTGTGTATGTCCATATTTATATAATCTTTATACAAAAAAACCTCAGGAGAAGTGCTGGAAGAGTGGAAGAAGGAGCCCACAGGTTTGTGTGTGTGAGAAGATGGACAACACAGGTTCTCAGAGTTCTCTTTTGTGAGACGGTGTGGGGAACATGGGAAGAGAAAAGAGGAGGTTGAAAAGAGGACCCCATGATATGATATTAAAGGGAGTGGGGAAAGGGTGAAGAAAGCCAGAAGACCATGGCATTTTTGTCCACCATATTCCTATAGAATAAATTCCAAGTGCAATCCATTAATGTAATTTCTTTTTTTTTTTTTTTCCTTCCAAAAAAACCCACCCTCTTATCTTTGCAAATCACCAAAACCAAAAAGCTGCTCAGGAAGAAGATTTTATTTTGATAAAACCTGTCAGAACTAAGGGCTACCAAAACCTGCTTTGTTTCCTGTCTGAGGCAGCTACCAGAGCTCTGTAGCCTGGGGCATCTCTGAGGGAGCTTCCAAGTTCCTGAGGCTGGTTCTTGGAGTCCTGGCAAATCCCCCAGAGTGAGAAAAACAGATCGTTGTGTCTGTTTTTATTTTGGGAAAGTGAACAACGTTTTTATTTCCCGGGTTTTTACAAAGCTGTGTTGGAGCCTGGGAGCTCTTTGATCAAAACAGTGATCATGTTAATTACTGAGGAGAGATGCTTGAAGCTGTGAGTGCTCAAGGGTCTTTACAGTTGATTGTGCCAACATATATATATATATATATATATATGTATGTATGTATATATGCATGTTTATGTTTTTAATTTGATTTACCAAAACTGGAACTTGTGGAAGGAATTTCTGAACTGTTCTTGTCTCAAGGACAGGAATCACTGCCAGGAAGGGTGACTGTGATGTGGTTGGGGTGGGTACCTGAATACCCTTCATGGACACTGTCCCATTATGGACACTACCAAGCTGTTGGCTCTTCTGGTGGACTGCCCCTGATTTTTTTTTCTGCTGTTATTGTTCTGGGGTCAAGAGAGTTAATTTTACATTGTGGTGGTGATGGGGGAACATGGGGGATTTTGTGTAATGTTTTGCTGTTCTTTTTGCCGTGTCAGTTTTTCCAAGACTTGCTCTGAAAAATCTGGGTCAATCTAAGCTTATTAAATATGCTGAAGTGCTCTGTGTGATATTTTCATCTTAAGGCTCTGAACTCTGCCTCTGCTCAAAGAGTTTTAGCTGGAAGGTGGTGTGTGGATGGGCATGGAGGCCCTGAGTTCTGTCTCCTTAAGCCCAGGCAATATTTTAAGCATGTTTTTCAAGATTTATTGAGCTCTTTGTTAATGAGGAGTGTAAATGTTTGTGTTATCCTTAAACCCAGGTCACAGGTGCCCACTAACAGTGTAGCTTCCACAGGCAGTGTGTTTCCAGGAGTGACCAGGTCACACAGGCAGCTCTGCTGATTCAAGACTTATTTTTAGTGCCTTGGCTGCTCTTTGTGGTGGAACAGCAGAGGAAGCTGGAGCTGGGATAGCCTCCAGCCCTCTGTTTGGCTGTGGTTTCCCATTGTGTCTGTGAGTTAACATTTCTGGGAGGTGATCTGACAAAGACAAGCAACCAAATCTAAATCTTGGTCATCCCAGGATCTGAGTAGCTGAGCTACAGTAGCTGCTCTTCCTACTCACTGATAGAGCACATCAAAATAAACCAAAATGGCAATAATTGCATAATAGAAATTTTCCATCTAGATGATTTTCATATGTGAAGGAAGTCAGTGTACTTTGACCAATTTGTCATTCTGTGAATGCATGTTTGGGGATGATAAATGAGATTTACTGTAAGAAATGACCCAGCATGGTTGGGAGGGGGCAAAAGAAGTTTGAGAGCAGACCCTCTTTCCAGGAGTTCATTCAAATCCTTTCTTATTAAAGGTATCTGCCCATTTACTGTTGCCTTAATATAGAAGTATTTTCTTTACTGATTTAACTTATTTCAGTTTTTGGTGTCTGTCAACGTGATTATGTCAGTCCAAGATATCATCATCCCATCAACATCCAGGTGATGCAGCTTTCCCCAGATGTAAATTCTGGTTTAGTGACTGCTCTGTTCACTGGGCTCAGCTCTTCTGGCTGCATCTTTTACAGGCTGGAAGATTTATGAGCTGAGTAACTACAGCAGATGTTGGTGGGTTGACCTTGGCTGGTCTCTCTATCACTCCCCTGCCATCAACAATACAGGGGAGAAAATATGATGAAAGGCTCTCTTGGGTCAAGATAAGGAGAGGAGATCATTCACCTCTTATTGACATGGGCTACACACACTCAATTTGAGGAAATTCCTGCCATTTATTGCCAATTAACTGTAACAGAGTAGGATAGTTAGAAAGACAACTAAACCCACTTTATCACCTAGACCTTTCCTTCTTCCCAGTGTTCCTGCTGCAACCCTTGTACCACCTGTCAGACACATGTGATGGGGGTGAGCCAGCTGAGCTGGCAGAAAAACAGTTTAACACAAAAAGAGACAAAGAAATTTCTTAGGAAGGAATCCTTCCCTGTGAGGGTGGGGAGGCCCTGGCACAGGTTGCCCAGAGAAGCTGTGGCTGCCCCTGGATCCCTGGAAGTGTCCAAGGCCAGGTTGAACGGGGCTTGGAGCAACCTGGGCTGGTGGAAGGTGTCCCTGCCCAGGGCAGGGGGTGGGACTGGGATGGGCTTTATGGTCCCTTCCCACCCAAACCATTCTGGGATTCTATTCCCCTGCTGTCCAAAAGCTGCCACACAAACCTATTACAAGATAAAATATCACAGAATCTGCATGGCATTGGTGAGGATTTAGTTATCTTAAATGCTTAGCTTTCTGCTGATTCCAGACCTTGTAAAATCACTTCTCTGACTGGAGCTCTTGGAAAAGATCTTGCCTCTGATCTAGTGTGTTCCTATATAGTAGATGTTTAGTTTTGAGTCTACTCAGATGCCACCCAAACTGTAGAGCCTTTCCTTTCTTCCATGACAGTCCAAGAACTTGCAGAAAAACTACCAGAATCCCAAACTGCAATATTGTAGAAGAGAAATGCTTGCAAACTGGTTCTTCTTTCCATAGCATCTCTCCCTTTCTGGATTTTCAGGGAGCTTGGTGGAAAATTTGGTCAAAGGAAGCACTGTAAAATTTGTCTTGTATCTTTAAAGATCCATTTCAGTATAATGGCTTTCAAAACAAGTGGAAGCATCTACAGAGGGAACCAGTTTTATGACTGTTCTTAATGATTGCTAATCTTGCTTAATCCTGTTTTGGATTTGCAGCTTTTACTTACTTCAGCTACTTTTGATGCTTTGATAATGAACATTTGTAATTCTGGGCCATTTCAAGGGGAAAAAAAATCTTTTCTCAAGAAAGTTTAAAGTTTGATAGCTTGTGACACTGGTACTTAAAGATGCATTTCCATTGCAGTTAGGCTGAACTAGTGTGGTGTCAGCCCACTAGTGTGGCTGTTCACCATCAGCCAGAGCTCCTGAGGTTGAACCTGGCCTAGCTAAAGCCCAAGTCACAGCAGTCTAGAGCAGCCTAGGTAGGTGTGTGCAGGGTTTTAAACCTGGCCTAACAACGGGAGGAATTGGAGGTTTGCCTGCTTGTACTGGAGTTGGTGTTACAGCAGCTGGTTCAGGACTGATCCAGCTGTTCTCAGGATCACATCTGGCTGCTCCTGCCCCCCGGCTTAGCTGCCATACCTGTTGAAGTGTCATCAGCTAAGGCTCTTCCTGCAAGGCCCTGGAGCAGGTTCTGATTTTTGCAAGGGAGTTGCAAGAGGAAAACAAGTCAAACTCCTTCCCTTTTCCATTCCAACAGCCTGGGAAAAGTAGGTCAGAGTTGGCCAATCCTCCACATCCTACAAGCTGCACATGTGGGTTTCGTGGCCAGGAGCCATAATGTTTGAGCCTTCTGCCAGCCCCTGTGCTGGCCCTGCTGTTTGCCATGGCCTGGAGTGCTCTGAGCTCCACCACTGACCACAGCAGGTGCCTCTGGAT